TGCGATTGGCCCAGGACAGAGCAGAGTTTAGGGCTGTTGTACATAGGGTCGCTATGAGTCACAAGCGACTCGATGGCACATAACAACAAACAACAACCCGATGTGCTGTCCTCCCATCAGCACCACTCGTTCCTGTGCGATCTGAGCAAGTCTCAACTCCTGTGCATCTCAGTTTCCTTGATAGGAATCCGGTATGGCAATATTATTCCCCTTTCTGCCTCCCCGAGCTGAGGGGAGAAGAAAAGAAAATAATTTGCGAGACTATAAAGTATCATTCAAATATCTCTTATCAAATCTTTTGAAGAAAAATTAATTTTTTATGAAAGTTTACAGAAGGTTTGGATTTCTATTCATTCATTGTTGCACTTTCCTCCCTGCTCCCCCTCTAGTTTGCTTTTCTCTCTGAAAAGTTAAAAAAAGAAAAATTCTTTCATTGTTATACAATCCCCCCAAGCCCCACTATTCAGCTTTCATTTTGGACTCTTGTCATGACAATAATAACTAATCATATATTCCTCCTAAACAGTTATCTCCCTCATCTGTTTCAATGCAGTGTACATTATTTATCCCCTCTTAGTTTCCCCCCAACCCCGATGTCAGTCCTGCTTTACAACAATAGCACTATGCAATATTTGTCCTTTTGTGACCGAGATACTTCACTCAGCATAATGTCCTCCAGGGTCACCCATTTTGTATAGTATTTCATGAGTTCCTTGTTTTTCCCAATTTCCATTGTGTGACTATAACACAGCTTCTCTATCCATTGTTTGTTGACGGGCACATGGGTTGTTTCCAACTCTTTGCTGTTGTGAACAAAGCTGCAATAAACATATGGGTGTGCATATATCTGCTTGGGTGGCAGCTCTGGCTTTTTTAGGGTGTATTCCCAGTAGTGGAATTGCTGGGTCAAATGCTATTTCTATTTCCAACTTTCTGAGAAAGCGCCATACTGCCTTCCATAGTGGTCGCGCCGTTTTACACTCCCATCAACAATGAATAAGGGTTCCAGTTTCTCTGCAACCTCACCAGTATTTGCTGTTTGCTGTTCTGTTAAATTTTGCTATTCTTACTGGGATGAGATAGCATCTCATAGTTGTTTTGATTTGCATCTCTCTTAGAGCTATGGATTTTGAACATTTCTTCATGTATTTTTTTGTGAAGTGTTTGTTCATATCCTGTGCCCATTTTTCAATTAGGTTGTTTACCTTTATCTTGTTGTAAGTCCCCTATCAGACATGTCATAACCAAATATTTTTCCCCAGTCTGTGGCTTCCCTTTTTACCCTGTTGGAGAAGCTTTTGGATGTGCATAGGGATTTGATTCTTAGAAGATCCCATTCATCTATTTTACCCTCTCTTGGTTGTAGTTTTTTCAGGATGCTTGGAAGACTGTTTATATTGTGGATTACGGCTTCTAGCGTTCTTCCAAGCTTTTCTCTAATGAAGTTTATAGTCCTTGGTTTTAGTCCCAGGTCCTTGATCCACTTTGAGTTGGTTTTTGTGCATGGAGTGAGGTGTGGATCTTGCTTGAGAGTTTTACAGATAGTTTTCCAATTCTGCCAACACCATTTGTTAAAAAGGCTATCATTTCCCCAATTAACTGTGGGGATTCCATCTCCTTGTAATAAATAAGTTGACCATAGATAGATGGGCTGATTTCTGGGTTCTCAATTCTATGCCATTGATCTATGTGTCTGTAATTGACCACAATGGCAGTGTAGTAGGATTTGAAATCAGGGAGTGAGATGTCTCCTATGAAAAATTATTTCTTTAGTAAACCAGCAAAGCTGCATGATATTTAAAGATCTGCTTTATTTTCTCTACAAAATTTCCCTATCATCGGGATAAAAATGATATTACCCTAACTTATGGTCATAAGAAGGAGCCCCAGTGGCATAAGTCCATAGGAGTTGTGCAACTATCCCAAAGATCACAACTCCATGGTGGTTAAAAAATTTACCAGAAGCTCTGAGGGATAAAGATGAGCAAGTTACAGTCTTTGAAACCCAAAGGTGGGCCAGCTATGAGTTGATTCTGGTCTGACCGCACTGAGACATTTTTTGGTGGTCTTGTGTAATTTTAAATAAAAAGTTTTGCAATGTAAGCTTTCTTAAAAAAATTATATTGGTTTGCTTATAGCATAAGCTTTTAATACTCACCCAAGAGAAATGTGGATGAACAACTTATAAACTTAACCATATATACATAGGTGTAAATGTATGTTCTATACTTACAAATG